GAACCACTGATGTCACATGGACTATTTTAACGATGTCCTTACTACGTTTCTGGCCCTTGAACATTTCAGTTGCATTGCTGTCTATGCAGGATCATAAAGCTCTCAGATTTCATCAAAAATATCTTACTTTGTGTTCAGAAGATGAACACACACATATATATATATATATATATATATATATATATATATATACACACATAGATACACACACACACACACACATATATATATATATATATATATATGAGGGCGAGTAATTAATGACAGAATTTTCATTTTTAAGTGTAATATGCACATAATCCTGTCTCTCTGCAGTTATGAGAACGCAAAGATCGAGAGGCTGCTGGAGGGGAGCTGGTCAGTGTTCTGGATCAAGATGGCAATTTAAATGGTGCTTTAGACCATGGATGTCCTATAATATTTGATTCCAGCTCATGCACTAGACTTGCAAGCATGTCATTTGTCAAAGAATGAGTTTGTACGATCTTTTATACTTAAAAAGTATTGTTACAGCTATTCTATTTAATCTTTAAGAGGTTTTTGTTGCTATAAGTGCATGTGTTTGTGGTGTTCAGTTTAAGTTTACAGGAGCTGCCTGTATTAGACATAATGCAGCACTTCTGATGCTCCCTGGTAGAAAAAAGTGTTGAAGTGTTGTCGATGAAGGAAATACAATCTAGAACTGGAATTATTTGACATTTTTATGGTTATTTCCTGTGCAGCAGTTGTAGCTGTCCTACATGTTTTGACAAACCAAAATCTCTCTTATTAGAATTCGAGCTGGCTTGTCTTTATATTCCTGGTGATGGTGATGTTTTTGGCCTTTATATAAATCAAAATTCGCAAATAGTTAATGCTTGCCTTAAACACTACTTGCTACAACTGCATTAAGCTATAAGCATACTGTTTATGTAACCTCTAAACAATTTGATGCTCAGTATTTGGTTTAACTCTGTGTTTGTCTGGATTAAACATTACGCTTTCCTTTATTTACAAATATGCTGAACATAAAGGTGACATTTGATTGCAATATGTGCTTTATGTAAATAGTCCATTGTAAAGGTGACCACTAGATATACTCATAATGTTGCAAAAAATGTAATCTTGCGCTTTGTGTTGTTGTTTCACTCACTTTGCATGAAGACATTACAATCCAAAAATATGTACAGTAAGTTTACAAACAACTCTTGTCCTCATTTATATGCATTGATTTTTCTTTATTATTATTATTATTTACTTTTTCCCATCATTTCAATACATTCCATGAAAGGAAGTCATATGAGTTTAATTGCTGCAGGATCAATATTCTTTTTAGTGTTTTTATTGATATTGCCAGTTCTTTCAATAAAAATGACAAATGAATAAAATGGTGTTGTCTATTACATTATTTTATGTTTTAAAGGGGTCATATGATACTGCTAAAAAGAACATTATTTTGTGTATTTGGTGTAATGAAAACAAACACGTTTCTCACATCCAAATCCAGTAAAGTCTGAATTCTCCAGTATTTTGCGGCGTCTGACCTGATGTATCCCACTTGGGGTCTGTGCATCAGATTCCAGCGGTAGGACACCTTGTCCTTCCAGCCCACATTACGAGGGTCTTTCCACAGCATGCGCACTTGATCATTTGTGTCTCCAGTGTGCCACAGAGAATTCCTCAGGAACTCCCCTGGCCCGGTTTTAGACTTCACAGCCTAGAAATGCAAATATATTGATTCATGTCTGTGTGTTTATTATTTAAATTGAATAATCAAATCTATCAAAATATCAAAAGAACTATTTGGCTATAGCTTTAACATCCGTTAAGTGTTTTTGCACGCTTCAGAGTTTAGCCACAGCCACATTTCTATATTCGCCGAGGGCTCCGTGGAGCAGCAGTAATGATAAAAGCAGACAGTAATAGAGATGAAGAGCGCTGGGACCTTAAGCTGAATGCCAGGCTCAGCCACGGCTCTGAAGGGCACGGCCTGCCAGTACGTCTGCTCCGTCTGCTTCCACATCACCACATAGAAGCTGGAGGAATCCTGGTAGCCGAAGATGAAGCCTGCATAGTCATCATCGGTCACTGTATTCACGTGGAAGGTGCCCTCAAAGTCCACGCCACTGAATGCTGTGTACCCTGTTTGAGGTGGCAAGATTGTCACATTTTGGCCAGATTTTCATTTAAAAACAAAATACTAAAGCTCATGTTTCAACCATGATTTAACCAAACTCATACAGAAATGAGATACTCAAAAAATTTAAATTCTCTCATCATTTATTCACTCTCATGCCATCCTAGATGTATTTGACTTTCTGTCTTGTGTGAAAATGAAGATTTTTAGAAAATGAATACATCTGTGAGAGTCCATATAATGCAAGTGGACAGTAAACTAAAAGCTGCTGCTTCAAAAACATGCAAAACAAACACAAAAGTAACCCCAGTTTAATGTCTTCTGAAGCGAAACGATAGGTGTGAAAAATACTCATATTTTAAACTTTTTTTAAACTATAAATTTGCTTCAGAAGACGCTGATTCATCCACTGTGGTTGCATGGATTATCATTGCTTTTGTTTTGTGTGGTTTTTGAAGCATAAATTTTGAGGGTCCCATCCACTTGAATTATATTATCTTACAGAAATTTGTGTTTCACAGAAGAAAGAAAGTCATATAAATCTGGTACAACGTAAGGGTCAGTAACTGATGAGGGAATTTTTTCATTTTTGAGTGGAGTACCCAAAAGACCTCGGAATTCTTTGCGCACAAAAAGTATTCCCGTACCTTCATAAAATTAAGGTTGAACCACTAATGTCACATGGACTATTTTAATGATTTCCTTATTACCTTTCTGGGCCTTAAACACGGTAGTTGCATTGCTGTCTATGCAGGGTCAGAAAGCTCTCAGATTTCATCAAATATATCTTAAATTGTGTTCCGAAGATGAACAAAGATCTTACAGGTTTGGAACGACATGATGAGGGTGAGCAATTGATGACAGAATTTTCATTTTTGGGTGAACTACCCCTTTAAGAGAACACAACATAGCTTTACTTAAAAGACCAATTAAGACCAGTATGAATTTCCAGGCTGGTTTATGCTGGATTGGTGCTGGTTTAGCTGGTCTTTTCACCATGGAAATACTCAAGATGATTTGAATGGTGTGGGTCACATAAACATACCAACAGCTAGTCCTGGGTCACTATTCATGGTTTGGACAATCTCCATTCCCTGATTAAGAACAACCCAGTTGGGGTCGATCTGAGCCTCTCCCTCTGGATCCAGAACCACGGTCTGATAGGCTCTGAAGTCAGTCAAAGTGATCTCTGCATTCTCAGGGCAGGTGTCGATTCTGTCTATCACATGATCTTTGTCAAAGTCTCCAGCGCAGTCATCACCCACCCCATCATCTGACAAAGAAGAAGAGCGGGGGAAAAAATACGTTTTGCTTATTTCTCTTTTTATCAGTGGTCTGATTTTTGATGGGAGTCCAATATAGATTTGTGAGGCACATTATGAACAATATTTGGACACTTAAGTCACACTTTAAAACACAAATGTCCTTGTATTAGCATTAAAAAAAATGTAAACTAAAACATTTGTCTTGATTAATTGAACAACTTATGACATCCTACTAAACAAATGTTGCTGTGCGTACTGTTTTCATCCTTTTGGTCTGGGTTTGACACCAGTCTACAATTATCTTTATCATCCAAAATGCCATCATTATCATCGTCATCATCACACTCGTCTCCAAGTCCGTCCTTATCAGTGTCCAGCTGTGCGCTGTTGATGATGTTGGGGCAGTTGTCTTTGGTGTTCTGATGACCATCTCCATCACTGGAACAAAAGATCTAAGTTATAAACTTGTTTTATATTGACTGTCAAAGAGAAAGGTAAAAAGTCAGACTCTACCTGTCAATGTTTGTGTCACAAGTGTCTCCAACAAGATCATCGTCAACATCAGACTGATTGAAAGAAAACAGAAGACAGGTTAAAAATAGGGTAACACTTTATTTCGATAGTCCACTTTAGACATTCTATTAACAGTAAGTAACTTTGCAACTACATGTCAACTAGCAGTTAGTAGAGTATTAGTAGACTGTCTGCTTAATATCTTCTAACACTTTCTTTGTCAACTTATTCTACTAACCCTAAACCTACCCTAACAGTCTACTCTGAGAATTAGTTGACATGTAGTTACAAAGTTACTTAGAGTTAGTAGAATGTCTAAAGTGGACTATCGAAATAAAGTGTAACCAAAAATAGTAATAATGAAAATGGCATATTTAACATACAAAATATACTAAATACACATTATACAACAGTTTGTTTCCCTGAATCTGGAAAAGAAGCCTTAAAAGAGTGCTGATATAGGAACCTAACAGCACAGGGACTTGTTTGGATAGCTTCCTTTGTTTGTATTTGCACCAGTAGGTGGCAGCAAGTGACTGTTTGGTGACTGAATCTTTCATTCAACAGTTTCACTCAAAACGTTGATTCATTCCGGACCGGATGAGTGAATCATTGAATCATTCACTCAACCGATTCTGTGTGTTGCTCAAGAGTCAGGAGAGGTTGTTTCTGCTTTGGATTTGTTTTCTCTAACTGTTTTCGTTGGTGAAGCAAAAAAAAAAAAAAGACAAAATAGCTGGCAATTCTGTGTATATTAATTTAATTCTTGTTTGTAACTAAACTGTTTTTTATTGTTTATATTGTTTATTCACTGAACTGTTCTCAAAATCAAAGCAACTCAGAATCGTGTTGTTTTGTGAATATTAGCAGGCAATGAGCCAGTGATATTTAGGGACAACAGTACTCTTGCTCGTTTAATATTGTTTAACTAGACTGGTCAGCATTGTTTGATGGTTTTTGGATATGTACAGTGATAAGAGTGATTCTGCCAGTATGGTAAGATGCTATTTTGTGTAAATAAATCTCACTAAAAACTCAATGTTGTGATGCTAGGCAGTATGAAACAGTGTTATTTATTTATTTATTTATTTGCATTATTGAGGTACTATTATAGTTTTTATTCATATTTTTTAATTAGTTATTATTTTTATATTTTTCTTTTTTTTCAGTAAAGTTTTAATCGTTTTTGTGAATGTTTTTGTCATTTTTATGATTATTTTGTTATTATTTTTCAAATATGTCTATATAGTTTTATTTATTTACCCCTTTTGTACATCAAGTTAAACTAAATGTAAATTTAAAAAAAAAACTTTTTTGTGGTTTTAGTTTGTTAACTATAATAACCCTTGTTTAAAACATGGATAACTACTAATTTTGAGATAAACGGTTGATAAAATGCCTAAATAATTTGACTCCCTAAAACAGAGGTAGGAAAGCAGTTTTCAAGAAACAGTGATTTTTAAAAACTAAAGCACTAAAACTATCCATTTAAATTAGGTTCAAATTTAGGTTTAAAAACTAGATGACACGAAAACATAATTTTATTAAAAATACACAGAATAGAATAGAATTCAGGAACAGGCAGTAATAAAGTTGTTTGGCACCTGGTTGGGGTTTGGCACCTCAGGGCAGCTGTCACATGCATCACCAACACCGTCATTATCTTTGTCCTTCTGGTCAGGGTTGGGAACCCTCTGACAGTTATCCAGGATGTTCTTCAAACCTAGAAGCAGAGAATGTACATGGATGCATTCAGTGATTCATCACTAGAGTCAGAGCCAGAGCACCAGTGGTATAAATGAAAGTATTATACAGAGGTATACTGTCTGAAATGTCACTGAATCGAGCAAACTCCATCAGGAGAAATGCACTGCGGTGTTTGCAGTGTTATACAGTGATGTCTTTGTGTGCAGTTTGTCGGGTCATGTCACAAGGTGGCGGTGTTTCGGAAAGACTTCTGTGGAATAGTTTCCACGCGTCAGCAGCTCTTGGCGCAGGTTCTTGGTGGAAATGTGGTTGCTCAATGGAGACATGACCAAGCTCTAAAGTATCAAGTCAAGTGTCTGGATTTCTGCCTTGATGAACAGACCGTAAATGTCAAGCGCTGCCTGGACTCTATTTTACACTTTTCAGACTGGAACGAATAATTGTCGATTTGAAAGAAAATGATCAGTGTGGTGCCGTAGAAGCTGTTAATATCCCTACAGGTCACTTCAGTTTTACATGACCCGTGCAGGCTAAAGAGCGCTCTAATTTGAGCTTTAAAACACAGAAGCTTCTGTTTTTCCTCATAAAATGACCTAAGCACAGGAAAATCCTGATAAAAAACAGGCCCAAGGGTGAAAAGGATATTTAAAACCTAACACCCCATTTCTGCAGCTAAATAAAATACACAGCAGCCGCAGAGCAGATGGAACACTAGCAGAGATTGGAAAAATGTGTGCAAAAATTGTGAAGTTGATTTTTGACAAAATAAGACCTGAATTCAATTACCATCCCCGTCTATGTCATCATCACAGGCATCTCCCAGTCCGTCTTTGTCTGTGTCCCGCTGGTCCGGGTTCTCCACGTTTACGCAATTATCACAAGCATCACCATGGAGATCTTTATCACTGTTCTTCTGGTCTATGTTAGGAACCAACCAGCAGTTGTCCTGTAGGAATACAGTCATGCAAGCACTGACATTGAAGGGAGCTTCTCAGTTCATCAAATCATGATCTAATGTTGATTAATCTGGACCTGATCATTGAAGATGCCATCACTGTCTGCATCCTCATCACAGGCATCTCCCTTCCCATCTCTGTCTGTGTCTTCTTGGCCCGAGTTTGGAACAAACATGCAGTTATCCTGAAAATGAAAAGTAAAATAATCTGGTATCACTTTACAATAAGATTTAGTTTGTTAACATTACTTAATACAACAGCAAAAACATCAATTATTCTTTAGTTCTTAAAGGGTTAGTTCACCCAAAAATGAAAATTCCATCACGTCGTTTCAAACCCGTGACACCTTCGATCATCTTCAGAACACAAATTAAGATATTTTTAAGATGAAATCCGAGAGCTTTCTGACCCTCCATAGACGGCAATGTAACTGAAATGTTCCAGTGGTTCAACCGTAATTTTATGAAGCTACGAGAATACTGGCAGAAGATGGTCATTTGGAGGAGAAGAAATTGTTGAATAAAATTGTTTTTTTTGTTTTCTTTGCACACAAAAATATTCTTGTAGCTTCGTAAAATTGCGGTTGAACCACTGATGCCACATGAACTATTTGATCTATGTCCTTACTACGTTTCTGGGTCTGGGAACATTTCAGTTGCATTGCTCTCTTTGGAGGGCCAGACAGCTCTTGCATTTCATCAAAAATATCTTTATTTATGTTCCGAAGATGAACGAAGGTCTTACAGGTTTGGAATGACATGAGGGTGAGCAATTAATGACGGAATTTTCATTTTCGGGTGAACTAACCCTTTAATCTTGATTACTGTTAAGTTTAACATAGTAATTAAAATGATAGTAACAATTTCAAGTTGTGTAAATGTTATTAATTTATGAATGAACATGAAAATAAACACTATCATTCAAAGGTTTGGGGTCAGTAAGATTTGTAATGCAATTGTAAAGAATAGTAATCTTTAACAATATTACTGTTTTTATTGTATAACTGAACCCAGACTTTTGTGGAAATGTATATTTGTAAAATGACCTCGACTGATAAATGAAGAGAATGTTGTTCATTGTCAGTTCATGATATCTAATGTGTTAACTACTGCTAATAAACTAAACTTCTAACAAAAATAACAGGTCACGTGAATATCACCTTCTTGCAGGTTCCATCTCTGCACTGAAGTTTCTTATCTGGATAAGCGTCAATGTCTGTGTCCTTTCCACAGACGTAGCCATTTCCTGCCCAGCCAATTTTGCACTAAAAGAAACAAAGATGTCAGCTGAGAAAGCTGTGTCCTGGCTCAAAAGAATGGCATAGAAAATCACCAACATCTCTTTATGTTTTCTTGAAATGCACAAGTAGACAAAACATCTGTGTGAATGCTTGACGTCTCACCGCACAGCTGATGCTCCCATCTCTCTCCACAACACACTCTGCGTTGACGTCACATGGATTTGGCTGGCCGTTCCCACACAGCCTGTCAGTTAGAGGAGCAGGGTCCAGGCCAGTACTTATGCAGCCGCTATTCTGGTCACCTGTGAATCCAGTCTTGCAGATCCCACAGTGAAACGCACCCTACAAGAAAGCAAGTTTCACATTTAAACTATTTACTGTACCTGCCACTGGCCACATTAGTACAATGGGTAAACTAGGATAGTTGTAGTCTTACCACTGTGTTATGGCAGTATGAATTGGGAGTGCAGCCACCGTTATCTACCTGGCACTCATCAATATCATTACATATCTGATAAAAAATGATAAATATGGTGTTAATCACAGTATGGTACTAAAATCACAAACAATAGCATTTTTACTATGTGTATCATGGTAATACTATTTTTGAACTTGCAGTTGTAATTGGAGTACCGTGTAAATATCATGGTATATAATACGGTAATCATTCTGTATCATTGGCATACATTAGAGAGTGCTTCAAAATGTCTTATTACATAATATGTTCGAATGTTAGGGGTCGGTAAGATTTTTTAATGTTTTCAAAAGAAGTCTCTTATGCTCAACAATGCTGCATTAATTTGATCTGAATTTTTAGCAATCATTATTCTAGTTTTCAGTGTCACATGATCCTTCAGAAATCATTCGAATATGCTGATTTCAAGAAACATTTCTTATTAATATCATGTTGAAAATAGTTGTGCTGCTTAACATTTTCATGAAAATTGTGATTTTCAGGATTCTTTGATGAATATAAAGTTCAAAAGAACAGCATTCATTTGAGACAGAAATCTTTTTTAACATTATACATTTTTGATCAATTTGATGCATGACATTTTTGATCAATTTAATGCATCCTTGCTGAATAAAAGTATCAATTTCATTAAAAAGCAATCTTACCTACCCCAAGCTTTTGAATGGTAGCACACACACACACACACATACATATATATATATACATACACACAGGTTAATTTAATATCATTATTTTAATTAACTGTCCCAAATACATACTTGTTTGTTTGTCTGAGCATAGTGAACGCCCACACCCTGGATCTCTGGACCAGTGAAGCCTCGTGGACACTTCTCACATCTGAACCCTGGTGCAGTGTTAATACACCGAACACCAGAGAAACATGGGTTGAACTGGCACTAAAATTGAACAGTTTAAAAGGTTAGCTGGATTTATGATGTTCAACAAACAATGCTCTGTAGTACATGGATGATTAAGTCACACGATTGCACTGCGATCTGTGAAAAGTTCTATAAAACCATTGGAAAATTACCTTAGAGCCTACGTAACAGTTTAAACAATTATTAGTCTAATAAACCCCTTATTGAGACATGATTATATGTTAATAAATCATTATGTGTTGTGTTCCTAACTGAGTTTTATTGTTCATCATTTAGGTAGAACACAATGTCAGATGTGTTGAACAGTCTGTGCTATTGAGATACTGCAGTGAGTAATGGAAATAAATGAAATAAAATAAAACAAGTCTTCATGAGTGTTCTTGTTCTTTCCTAAGTACCCAACTACGAGAGAAGTAAACAGGAAATAAGTGGCTAGATGAACATCATAAACAGCAAAACTTGATTCAAACCACAGAAAGACCTAAAGAATAGTACAGTATTATGATGAACAAAAAATCAGCATCTTAAGTCTAACCTCATCTACATCATCACATTGGACACCATCTCCAGAGTAGCCCTCAGGACAGGGTGCACATTCCACACCTTCAGCTGTTTCGATACACATGTCTGGCTTAAAACAGACCCCTGGCCTGCACTTGGACTGCTTTTTATCCTGTAGTCCTGCTTTGTCCCATCCAAACGCATCTAAATGGTAACAGAACACTTGAGTTCACCTGTCCTACACTTTCAACATCCTCATTATAAGCCTCTAATAATTGACTTGACTGAGCACAGACACGAAAAACTGCTAAATGTTTTCTCATTATAGCCGTTTTGTAACTTTTTAACTAAAGTCTTACCATTGCATTGAACACACTCCATGATAGTCTTTCGCAAGTCAGCGGTTTCTTTGGTCTGTTATGAAAACAGATTGTTATTATGCTGTTATTATTATAAGGGTAGTTCACCCAAAAATGGAAAGTCTGTCATTACTCTCATTACATTGTTACAAACCTGAAGTGGAATATGAATAGGGGATTTTCATGCTTCAAATAACCAAAACAACATTTTTATCATAAAAGTAGTCCATAGGCTTCTTTAGCTTTGTGTGAGCACCAGATTGATAAACATTAATAATCTCCCCGCCATTATTGAAGCAGTGAGTTGAAACCTGATTGATGCAGGAATCTTTCAGACTGGTTCTGTCAACTGATTTAGTGAAAATAATGATCTGTTCCTGAAAGAACTCAAAAGAACTGTACTTTTTGTGTGAACTATCCCTTTAAGGAACTGTTTTCCCACTCAATTTCAAGTTACCTGCTGATCGACCTTCTGTTTCAACTCTTGGATCATTCGCATGAGCTCGAACATTGGGCCAGCTTCCATTTTTGAAGTTGTTCCTGCAGAAATGTAACATAATGATATTCTCTGTATTCGGAAAAAAAAGCTGAATAAGACACAGACGACAGAGAAACAATAACCTCACCTAGTAGCTGCAGTGTTTCCCTCTGTTCACCCTGCTCTGGAGCATTGCAGTCCTGAAGCTCTACCACATTATTAATAGACTCATCAAGCACGAGTTTGAGGTCTGTCAACTTGTCCTGTAACACAGGTACATATTCACACACTGTAAAATTTTTTAGTAATTTTACAGAAAAACACTGTTAAATGTTACAGTAAAACACGCTAATTGATTAAGTGTAAGTTACCTTACACAGTGAAAAACTGTTAATAGTTTAACACCACATTACATGCAATTTTACAGTAAAATACAGTCAAATTTATGGTTTTTGCAAGTAAAAAAGTCCCTGCATGACTCATCATGTGATTATATTTTGTACAAATAATTTAGTTTCACACAAGTATTGGCTGTGATTTATGGACAAGTCACTTGCAATGAACTCTGATTGATCATGTGGCTTTTTTATTGTGCCACCTGTATATTAGGGTGGTTATCAGCAGGGGCGTTACCTCTGAGGAGGCAAGGGAGGCAGTGCCTCCTCAAAATATTGGATGAGAAAGAAATTTGTAGTACAAAAGTAAAACAACGCCAATATGACAAAATACAACATTAAAAAGTGCATTAAATCACTTGTTTATCTAAAAAAAAAAAAACATTATCTAACAGCGACACTAGCAGGTAAAGTTACAGCAGGAGCTCACGTCTCTCTCGCCTCCACTGAGCCCATTGAGTTTTAACAAACCCCTGATGCGTGCGGTAAGTTTGGTGGGGGATAATTGAGAATGAATGGGGGAAAGTCATGTGAGAGGAGGCAATGCCTCTATCGCGATATGATTGGATATGACTGGTTATGAATCCCGCCTCTTGTGTTTGTGTGCATTCCGCGTTCACAAATATAACGGTGTTAATGGGAAGACTAATTTAAAAAAGCAAGTAAACAACTCACACACTTAGATAGGCCATAACCACTTTGTAACGTCAAAATAAGATTCAATAAATTTAATAAATCAGCTTGGTGAAATTTAAAGTAGCCTAAATCTCTGTCTGTGACCAATATTTACCAAGCTTTCATGACTGATATCTGAAAAATTCAATAATAATAATAATTAAAAAATATATTTAAAAGAATAGCTGAATGTAAGTTCACAAATAAAATATATTGTTTAAATGGTTACTGCCTTGAGTTATTATTTTGGAATAAATGTAAAATGCTTAAAAACACTAACCTGATGAGATTCATACATGGCTTTAATAAATAGAATATTGATTACATTGTTAATGTAAAAATATAAAATAGAATAGTTTTTTTCCTTTTTATGATAGTGTAAGTAATGTAGATATTGTGACTGGGACATGAATTTACATTTGATTTAAAAAAACAAACAAACAAAAAAAACTTTGAAGACTTTGCCTCCTCATTTCAGAACACCAACGCACACCACTGATTATCAGTATATTTTAAGGTTAAAAGGCAGATATTGGTAGTGTTCAGTAGGCATATTAACATTATATCACTTAATGAAATATATTGTTACAAGTTGTAAAATATACAAGTATCCTGCAAAACCTGTAGTATTTTTTACGATGAATTTCTGACAACCAGAGATGCCAGTTTTTTACTGTAGATTTTTTTTTTTTTACAGCTTACTGTATGCATAGATAAACAGAATAATGAATTACCTGGGATGAGGTTGGCAAGGTCTTGAGCGTGACTCGTTTTGGGCCCTGCGGCAGTGATTTGAATGCCAGCGGCACGTCCTGCACTCTCTCCACCAGCCTGCAGTCCACATAGAGGGCCGTGGTGGGGGTGCCCTGCTGCAGCCCGCTGAAGTGGAGCAGTATATGGTGTTGTTGACCATCTGTCAGTGGCACTTTACCAAAATTGGTTGATCCAACCTTTCCGTTGCTTTTCAGATATTTCAAAACGACTGTGAACAGAAAAAGTATTTAGTGTACATATCAAGTGTCTATTGAGCCACTGAACATTAAGCACATTAGTGAACTCTGATCACACAAACCTTTGTTGAATTTCCCCTGAACGGTGAAATGAAAATAATCTGTGTTGTCTAGGGCATTGAAGATGTGGAAGACCCGAGTTGGAGCTTTGTTCTGCAGCTGCAGGCCTGCCAGGATAAAAACGTTGTCCATGTTCTTTGCCTGTATTCCTCCTTGCAGAAGGTCAGGTAAGCAATCCGGTGACACCAGAAGATCATAAACTGCAAAATTAGCATTTTTGTCAACAGATTTGCACTGGATACTGATGTTTTTTGATGCATTTGTGTAATACACGTTATTCCGCTACTCTTTTGTCCAGGACACAATATAAAAAGCAACCAATACGGTCATTGACAAATTTGTCCTCAGCTAATGGTCATTTCATAGAGCACTGTAAAAAATCAAAAGTTGAGAAAACGTAAAAGTTTACGGCAACCAGCTTCAGGACATTTTTGAGTTTTCTCAACTTTTTTATCCAACAAAAAGTTGAGAAAACTCAAAAATCTCCTGCAAAATCAAGTTGAGAAAACTCAAAAATCTCCTGAAGCTGGTTGCTTTAAACTTTAAGCTTTCTCAACTTTAGATTTTTTACAGTGAGTGTTCAGTTCCACATTTGTTAATCCCACTGCATGCTGGGCATTTCCAGATAATTTATGAAATTTATGGAGTGATAAATGACCTGCCTAACTAAAAAAACAGTTCATTTTTGCTAATATTGATATTATATTTTATCAGAAATGAGCTGGTTTTCATTTATTTCACATTTTAACAGTAGAAAATTAAGGCATGTACACTTTTATTCATAAACAGTTTTGTAATGCAAATAAAAAAATGCAAGAAAATTAACATTCAAAAATAATGTAATGTCTTAAATATTAAATATTTAACTATTATAAGCTTTAAGGTCTTACCAATTCCTTGTGTTTTCACTGTATCAAAGAGTTGTAAAATTAACTGTAAACTGAATATGATTCTTATCCAAGTACCCATTGTGGATTTTTTTTATGTAACAAATCCAGTTAAAGTGTTCCACCCTTATTCCTGGAAAAATAGTTTCTGCTCTGACCCCTGATTCAGTCTTGATCAGTAGCCGTCAAAACAGAACTGCCTGTTCCCTGTAGCCCTGCAGATGAACGAGAACCAGACTGGTGCTCAAGTGATTTACGCTTTTCAGATGTCTCTCTCTCGCTATATAAGGTGTGACCAAGCACCTCCTCCAGAATGCTTCTGTGTTTTTACCAGTCACATATTGCTGTGAGCAGGTCAGATCAAAACCTTCTAAAAGAGCTCTTTGTTAATGATGGTAAATGATGGGAGGATTTGCTTTGGTTTTTGGTCAGAACCTGTGCCAGCTAGTTAAAGGTTGCAATGAATATTCTGGTTTAAATGATCTAATTAAACAAATGCTTTTGAAAGCAAACCAAAAAAAAAAAGAAAAAGAAAAAAAGATTTAGTTTTGCAGTTTGCATTATTTTTACATTTATCATTTTCAATTAAACCGTACTTAAAAGTTTTTTACATAGAAATAATAATGGCTTAACAATCCGACTGCACTTAAACCAAACAATCTGTCAAAAAAAAAGAAAGAAAGAAAGAAAGAAAGAAAGAAAGAAAGAACGAACACATTTACAGGAATGATCTGGCGTGGCATGTCCCTGCTGAGTCTTGCCAGTTTGAGTGTTACGACAAATGAGTTATGGAAAATCAATTAAACTTTCAGCTTCATATGAATGAGTTTACCACATGAACTCTACAACTGCCTGTGTATTGTATCCCGCAGATTCTCAAAAAAAGAAAACAGATTTAATTCTTTAAAAAAATAAAAAACCTAACAGAATTCTTTTATGATGGCCAAAATCATCAGGTCACTGCTTATCCTAAATATACATCTATATAACCTATTTTTATTTTATTTATATTATTTATTTACAGTGTTGGGAAGGTTACTTTGGAAATGTAACAAGTTACAGATTACAAGATACCCTATTTAAAATGTAATAATAGTGTAACTAAGTAACTAACAGTTACTTTATTAAAGTAGGCTAATGTAACTAATTACATTTGATTACTTATGATTACTTTTCTAAATTACATGTTTTCAGCTTTTAATCATTTTCAAACATTTAAAGCAGGCAGGGTTAACCTTACATTATAGGGCTCAACACTGATTACTGTCAGACTTTCAAAATCCTTCTTCACTTGAATTAAGATTATAATAATTTAATTTTAAAGCACAGACATTGCTTTAAAATCATAGAAATCATGTCATCAGATTGAAAATCATAACAATATAGCTATAATACTGTTTTTGAAATCTTTGCATAGCAAATATATTTCAGGAAACACTGACATCTAAAAATGCCTTGGAAAAAAAACAGTTAATCTTAAAAAAATAAAACATGTACATAAACCCAAATAGAAAATAAAACCTTATCGAATAAGCATGTGTCCTATTCTGTGTCCTAAACTCCTCTCATATTTTAGAGCAGTCAATGCAATTTTGGGGGGGGGGGCGGAAATCAATTAAATCGGTATGTGTGAGAAAATATTCAGATGTAATCCCCCCCCAGATGTAATAATCGTAAACATTTTCATAAATAACTGTAATTTAACTACACATTTTTTTCTCAGTAACTACAACTGATTACAGTTACTTGTAGCTAGTTACTCCCCAACACTGTTTATTTATATATTTATTTGCTGAATTTGGCAAAATAATTTCTTAACTGATGTATTTTTTTTAATTAAATAAAAAGTAAGGTTTTGGTTTCTTATTTTTCGGTTTCTTGCTTCCATTTATGTATTTTAACAAACATTTGCTGGGTGCAAGTTGGCTCTCCTGGTGCACTGGGATGCTCAGTGGACCACACCAACATGGCGGAACCCATGGAGCTGCTCTGCTGGGGAGGCGACTGGGATCTGCCATCCGTGCACACAGACTCTCTCATCGTGCTGGTAACTACACGGCTTATTTTAACGCGTGTGCTGTATGCATATTCACTGTGTAATTTTTAATCACGAACGTCGATGCATTTTTGGAGAGACGTGTCCTGGGATCCGGATAGCTGTACGTTATCCGAGTCACTTTGATAAATAAAAGTCTCTGTACACTATTTATGCGCCAGTTCAGTTGTCAGCTGATACCTCCTATTACCGTAGCTGTCATGCAAAAAGTAGCTCGACTTAATTGCATTGCATTGATATTTATGCTGATATGTGTCGCACAGCTCCTGGTTTTATTTCTTGAAGGTCAGAGGAATAATGCTGATAGGATCTGAAGGGTATGGGCTCCTTTTAAACGCGTTTCACCTAGATTATAGGTTATAAACAAGTGCTTGTGTTTTGTGCTGGAGTGTAGATTTTTTATTTTTTTTTGCAGCTGCCTGAAAACATGTGTTCTGATAACCTTTTGCAAAAATGCATAATAAAAGTCCTAGTTAGAGTATAGCGCTTTAGTGATGATTATTAATATTTACTTAACCCTTAATCAATCATCTGTTCACCTTCTTATATTTTTAATGTTCTCTTACAGACATATGCTAAATTTTCAGGTGCAAAGCTTGCAGTAAAGTCTATTGACTGGACATGGAGGACTATCACAGGTCAGAAAGGAATGTTTTTAATAATATTGGTGTTAGAGCTTGTTAAATGTAGTGGAAGTCTGGGATGTAGCCACAAGCATCCATGTCATTTTCCAAATGTAATATTGTGAATACCAAACATTGCTGAAGTGCGTGCGAGGGGATAAGGAGTTCTTTGATGGTTAAGCTGCAGCTGTCATGTTTCTCCCTCACAGCATCTGTGCCACAACTACACTATGAGGGATCCACAGTCACAGAACCAACACAAATTCTAAACTTCCTACGAAAACAGGTAGAAATTCATATTTGTTTACAGATTTTCTCGTTTTTGTGTAAAGTGTTTTTCAGCAGAAGAATCCTGATGAATTTATTGACCAGATGACTATAAATTATCCTACTTATTACATGATTTTACCAAATAAATTCATACAATAAAGAAGTATGATGTGCTTGAGGAAGAGAGATTATGCTCCCTGGATTGTATATTAAAATGTCAGTAATACATGTGTTGCCTAATCAACACAGAGATTCAATGCTGACTATGAGTTGACAGCTAAGCAAGGTGCAGATACAATGGCTTATATCGCCCTCCTGGAGGAAAAGCTGCGGCCAGCACTGGTGGGTCCATCTGCAATTCACTTACTGACTGAAATCATGTTTCTGGTCCTCATAATGATTGTCTTATGAATTAAGTGTACATCTGTGCTGTTAATTTGTAGCTGCACACATTCTGGGTGGACACAGAGAACTATGCTAACCTGACCCGACCCTGGTTTACGTCACATTCCCCGTTCCCCCTTAACTTCTTTGTACCGGGTCGACAGGCCAGCTTGGCTCTGTCCCGCATCTTACTGACCAAAGCAGAGTCGCCATTGCTGAACATCACAGAAGTAGAGGGAAAGGTATGAGAAAACAGATCCACAATCATGAACGATCATAACATTACATCAGAGACATTAGCTGTCATGCATTGCCTTGAATTCATCTTTTTTTTCAATGCCATGGTGAAATGGAAATGTCTGCGGTTCTGCATTGTGAGATGGAAAACAGTTTATCTCAGGAAAATTGTCTGTCCTCATGAGCAAATCTGCCTAAGGTGGAGTGTAGAATCCAGAGGATCATGAAATATGTTACACAACAAATGTGCTATTGTAGTTATGCCATTCCACATAATAATGAATATAAAAATTGTATGGTTAGTAATAGAATTTCTTTTAGATCTACAGTGAAGCCAAAGAGTGCCTGAATTTGCTCTCCCACAGACTTGGGAACTTCCATTTCTTCTTTGGAGACACGTGAGTTTTTCACTTCTTTTATTGCATAATATTTATCAGCTCTTTAAAGGGACATTTCACCCCAAAATAAAAGGTCTGTCATCATTTATTCACTCTCATGTCATTCCAAGCTTGTATGACTTTCTTTTTTGCGTTCGTGGAACATAAAAAAGATATTTTGTGACAATAGAGTTAGTGTTTTTTGTCCATAGAGTGGCAATCAGTGGGTTTCATTTTTGTTATTTAATTCTCAACGTTTTCTATGTGAATATATTTTAAAATTCAATTTACTCAATGATGCTGCTGAAAATTCAGGCTTTCCCTCACCAGGAATAATTTATATTTTAAAATAGAAAAACTTTATTTTACATTGTAATAATATTTCACAATATTACTGTTTTTTTTTTTTTGTGTGTATTTTTGATCAAATAAATGCAGCCTGGTGAGCATAAGAGACTTCTTTTAAAACGTTACAAAATCTTACCTCTAACTCTAAACTTTTGAACGCTAGTGTATAATTGAGTTAAAAGGATAGTTCGCCCAAAAATGAAAATTGTCATCATTTTCTCATTTAAATAATTTAGTTGTTCCAAACTTGAATTTCTTTCAGCCGTTTAACACAGTAGTTGTGGATACACAAAATACTATGGAAGTCAATGGCTACTGTAAACTATTTGGTTACCCACGTTCTTTAAAATGTATTCTTTTGTGTCGAGCAGAAGAAAGACAGTCATAAAGGTTGGAACGAATTGAGGGTGAATAAATGATGGCAGAATTTTCATTTTGGGGTGAACTATCCCTTTAAATGTAATCATCTTTGTGTATCAGCCTGAAGTTCACCATGTTTTCTATCTGCCAGGCCTACAAGCCTGGACGCCTTTGTCTTTGGCCATATCGCCCCTCTAATTAAAGCCCCTCTGCCCAGTGGGCAGCTTCAGAAGCACCTGAACCAACTTGATAACCTCTGCCAGTTCTGCAACGCCATCCTTAAAAACTACTTTAATGCCTCTGCTGAGAAGAGAACGGACTGTAAGTAGTAAGGCCTCTGTCATAGCCTGTCCTATAGTACTATATTAATAAACCCACAAAAAACATAGTATTGGTCATGCTCTGCTCTCTTTCTTCTTTTTATTAGTTTATCTCAACCTCCACTTGTTTGCTGCTGAATCATAGAAATAAATAATTTAACCAGACATTCATGATTCATTACCCTTCCATTGCTTTCAACCCTAGATATTTGGCTTATAGCAGATTCTAAAAGACAGTTTAATAACAGCATGGTCTTTGGCCTCGTGGCTTTTTGCCTCTTTGGCTGCACTCTGTATCTGCTCTAACCTTTCTCCCATGTGCGTAAAAATGCCTGCTTTTCTTCAGAATCAGTGTCCTGTCGTCTTTTCTTTTCTGTCTATGCCCTCTCGCTAGGCTCACCGACGACTATCCATGATCCTGTCGATGCAAACCTCCAGAAACTGACACAACTTGTTAACAAAGAGTCCAACCTTATTGAAAAGGTTTTGGCAAGATGTGCTTATTCACTTCTGAATTTAATGTCACTAGAAATCACAATTACATGGTTAAAAGTGTGTGGACACTGTTTTTTCACTGTGTTTTGAAGCAAGTATTTGCTCCTATTCAGAATTACACAGCAGCTTCAGTGAGGTCAGACAGACACAGATATTGGGTGATGGAATCTGGCTCACAGTCGATGTCCCAATTCGTCAGAGTCAAGAAAGAGTCCAACCAGACTTTAACCGTTTATTTTTTTGGGAAAAGAAAAGTCATGGAGTATTGTGGTGAAAATATTTGTTATAAGGAAATGGTATAAAAAAACGATTGTAATTTTGACAGTAAAAGACTGTAAAAATGCTATGGTAATAGCATATAATGTTGACATTTCCAGAATTCTCAGGGACAGCATACATTTGATGGGTTTTCGTTTAAATAATTAAGGGTTATATATGGAAGCTTATTTTGCCATGGAGTAAAAAAATTCTAAAAAAAAAATTCTTGTAATTCTGAGTTTATATCTCACAAGTCTCACTTTTTAAAGAAGATATAAACTCAGAAATGTTCACGAATAGAGATGTTATCTCTCAATTCTGAGAGAAAAGTCTGAATTGTCAGATATATATTCAAATTGGGACAGGGATAGTCGTCCCAAATTGTGAATTGTGACAAATGTTTCCACTAAATAAATAAATAGCTAATAAAAAAAGCGACTTTTTATCCCAGAATTGTGACTTCTAAGACTTGCAAGAAAAAAAACGTCAGAATCATTTTTTATCATAAATTTCCACATTTTTTTTAAACACTGTATGCCTGGTTGTATGCTCGATTTTATGAACCTGCTGAAACAGACACACAAGGGGGGTGTCCACATGCTTTTGGCTATGTAGTGTCTCTTCTTACACATCTTTTGGAATGAACACTTCGCCATGTATGTTTTTGTCACAGATGGATGACAATCTTCGCAGCAGTCCACAGCACAGACCGCACAGACATGAGTCCAAACCCTTGGCCCTGGCCGGCGAGAGGAACTCGACCCCTCACTCATAAACACCTTGTATCAAAGCACTGACTTTACCATCATCGATTTATTCTACGGTGGCCGAGAAGTGCAAAGCAAATCACAATTCTGAAAACAAAATAACAAATTACAAACGCAAATGCAAGTCTAAAAAACAAAATAACAATTCAGAAAGCACAACAACAATTCAGAAAACATTATAACAAGTCAGAAAACACAA